GTCGCATCATTAGGAATCACTGATTTCAGCTTACCGCGGAGCTGATCCGTCATCGGTTGAGAGATCTAAACAGAACGCAAAATAAATTGGCAGCATTTGACTTGATCTTTGCTAAAATTCCCTAAAAGTTGTACTCTCTAAGCCCTTTTGCAAGTGAAATGTCAGTTTTTAATACCGAACGATGAAGGCTTTTAACTGGGCAGATCGGTTTACCATCATAGATTCCATCTCAATTAACCCATTATAGATAATACGCGAAAATGCTGTCAAATACACTCAGCAGGTTTGGGATGAAATTACAGAGTTTCTATCCCGGGTCAACTAATCACCTGGTACTACTAATCACATCTCATTGCAGCTGAACGGAATCAGTCATCATGTGAAGAGATCTTTAGTGAAACAAGTCTTGCTTTGAATTCTGCGTCACCGTTATCCAAACCGGAAAACTCATCCACGACTTCATCCGGTGTGTGTTTGTCTGTGGACTCGGCTCCGCACACGGACACTCTTGGTCGATCCCTAACCGATCTGTCATCCCAGTTCACGTCGGAACCGTCACTTTTCGGTAGTTTCTACAGTGGAACCAGTCCACGCATCCCGGACACGGAAAGTCCCTTGGCTGAGATCGAACTGATTAGTTTGACAGCAAACCGACCTACACCACGTTATCGTCTACGCGTCGATCCCTGTACCGCCTTTCTCGGCTATAATAATCGAGATTTCTTGGGTGCTCGAAGAGCCACACGTCGCTTGCAATCGATTTTACCGCTCTCTCCTCGTGGTCTGACTACCATTCCCAGTGAGGGCAAATTAAACGATCTCGAAGTTACCAATACCAGTGTATCTCCGGACACACTTGGCAAGTCTGGAGAAACAGATGAGGACGGTAATTTGGACGACGACGACGACGAGGAAGACGATTCACTCTCTCTCTCTTCGGAACAGATCGAACGCATCCTGGACTACTTCCGTGAGTTACTCATGCCCGTGTCGTCTACTTTCACACTCTGTCGGCCTCATTATTATAACATTCCTTATGCTGTTATTATTACTGCGACTTGCACTTCCGGAAAGATATAAACACAAGTAAAAATATTTGACTGTTGTCCTCTGGCTTATCAGTTTCCTTCCAGTTTCACTTTTTACAACCATTAACCAGGCACTTTCATGCACTGGTTCTGGTGGCTGACTTTTGGCCACTCATTTGGATAAAAGATCAGGATGAACATTGGAATGCTGAGAGCAAATTCAAGTGGAACATTGAGAATTCATATAGACTTATCATTGCATATCGGCGGTTGGGGGCAGTAGAGGGCAGTTGCTGTTTATCATCAGATTCAATCCGACGGTATGATATTTTCAAAATAATCCGCCGCAACGGAAATCCATTGCTCCCTCTTTCGGAGTTAACCACGAACCTGTTGGCGATGCAGTCGATCTCACGCACTTCTCTCCTAATCATTTGTTCTGTGTTCTCTGTTCCACACCTAACCTAATTTACGAAAAAAAAACGGGGAATGTTAAAAGTCCCCGTTTGTGCAGTCTATCTGGGGATTATTTCTTCACCCTCTTACACACTGATGTTTATTTCAAAAGAAAGATCTCTTTTTGAATGGTGTAGTTTATTTAGACAAAAATACAATTGACACTCCACACACTTCAGCGTCCTATTGGATATATATTTATATTTTTACACACGTATTAGTCCAGACTGTGTGCCAACTACATCATGACACAATAATATTCATGCAAAACAGAAAAACGTTCCATGATTTGCATGTGGGCAGATTATTGCCAGGTTTCCCAGGCCAAGGCAAACGAATTTTCTTGAGGAATTCACAACTGGAGCCTTCAGCTGGCCAAAGCCTGGCCCGCAAGGCAGCGGGGCGGTGTGTGAAAACCGTGATCCATTGGGGGCTGGTGTCCAGTTCATCAGATAATTCGCTCTTTCGGGACGGGGTCAAAAGTCCAAGGTGCCCAATACACCTTGATGCCCAAACGAGCAGGTAACCACTGCCACAACCAGGAATTCGTGTGTGGTTCATACTCCTCCTCTTGGTTGGTTTGGAATGAGGGCTTTTGGCCAACTCCCTTAGGTGAACTGTCAATGGTTCACCAACCCGATTATAGCCCCAGATGTTAGCTTTTCGTCCTCTCACTTCGGTGGGAAACCTCCGCCACGAGAAGGCAGTGAGTAGGGCTTCCTCAGTAGAAATGAATATTTGAGATGCTTGGTCTAATGGTAGCATTTGGCGCGGTGCAAAGGAAGAGTGACGAGCCGCAACCCTAAACACCCACCCCCGACCATACGGAGGCTTTTGGAGGCGTCCCATTCGATGCGGACATTTGGATTAGGAGTGTTGTGACCCCGAGGTGAATGTCCTTCCCGTATTGAGTTGGTTCAGCTTCCAATCTGTTCCTAACTGGAAGGAAGGTAATAGAGGAAGGAGACTGATGCTGGCATTTAAGCATCTCTCTCACGCTCCTCGCTCACTAGTATCTCATTCGGGATTCCGGTAGACGCACAGTCTGCTCGATTGACCTTTGTTAACCCAAGAAATCTTTGACGTCACTGCAGTAGTATTTGGCTCACTCCACTACGTCAGGTCATGTTATGTCAGTACTGATACAGGCATGAATCTGATGCTATTCGCATCTTTAAAATACAAAAGGATGCTCCATGGTTGGGTACAGACACCGTTTGCTTTGAAGTTCGATAATCAAGAGTTGATTCTTCTATTTTTGCCGTCTTGATTGCGTCATCAATACCGGTACGGTAGTGAAATATGCAATCGCGGACTGTTCCAATGAACGCTCAAGCGGCGTATGCAAGAACTGAAACACATTTAGGCGTAAACATGATGTTTCCTGGACTTTGAAGGGTTGCCAGTCTGGGAACTTTTGTGTGGAAGACAACCGTCGACCGGGAGTCGATCATCGAGCATCAATGTTTACTTGGTTAGGCACAGATTAGACAAGTCGGACGGGTTAGCAACACGTAAGTAAACCAGGGTCTATTTGTTGTGGTCATGATGATGATGATGATGACAAGTTGTGTTTACGTAATCATGTGGGGGTGCAGTGGCCCCTATCGTGAGGCACATCTATAATTCAGTTTTGTCTTTCTTCTGACATGTGCATCGTCGAGTGCACCACAACGAAAGGGATCGATCGCCCCGAGCATGTTTGTGTAATATGTGTGTATATGTAAGCTGAAAAGTACTTTATTGTCACGTGAGCGCTCAGTTTATCGCGTTTTCTGTTTGTACTATCATTGTGTCTGTTGTGCCCTAAGCACATTCCCCTCGCATGGAGTGACAGCCGTGTTGAGTCAAATTTCAACTCTTTCTCCGTGTTTATTTACCTTCCCGTCAATCGATGTAATGAATGTGGCAACGTTCATGTATGCATTTGTTATAACAAATCGATACTGATGACGAAATAATCCGAACAAAGAATGATCGATCACCTTATTCGCTCAGTTTTATGCTGTCCGTAATTCTCGGGTAACTTATACTTGCGTCCTTTACTACGATTGGCTCCTTGGAAAGGATAAGCCGGCTCCAGACATGATCATGATCATGAAGTTTCTTGGGCGTTTGGTACGAGAGACGTCCCCAGCGTCACTCGGCGTTTTTTTATTCATTTTGCGGTCATACTTCTAGCGTTCGCACAACCAAATGCAAACTGCAAGGCGGCAGGAAGTAATCCCTCGTCTCGGAAGTGAGAGGGTCAATGACTTTAGTTTTAAAAGGCCAGTCACATCGATCGACCTTTGTCACGACCCCGTCATTGAGTTTATGTGGTTTTTTAAACAGGAGCCAGGTGACCATCACCCCCTGGTAGTGCCACTGCTGTGTGTTCGCGACTGCTTATTCGTTGCGGTTTGGCCCAACTTATTCACAGCTAACATTCCTCGGTCAAGGTATCCCGCTATCCACAACCCGAGGACGCGCCTGGTAGCATTCAGCTCTGCTTAATCCGAGGGTACCTGCGTGCTTGCTTTAAGTCAAGTCAAGGAATGGCTTTATACACATGGATATTCAGCAACCACAGAACTGCAGTCAACAAAAAGTGAAAAAACATAATACAGCAATTAAAAGAAGTAAAACGCATAGCAACATCAAAAACCAACGGCAAACCAGGATGTTTTATGATTGATTTAGTTTAGCATTTTGCACAGATTTTCTGCAACGAGTTCATGGTTTGTAAGAAATCAGGCAAGATACGGTACAATGGAGCGTATGTAAGCTTCAGTGAGTGCCTTTATGAGTTTATGACGAATGGGTGTATGAGTAAGAAAGGCACTGGCTAAGATCAGAACAAACAGGATGGGAAATATCAAATAAAATTTTATTGAAGAATTTTTTACTTGAGGTGGTCTGTCACCACGTACTGTACTAGATATTCCCGTGGTATGAAACTACAAGCTGACAGAAATTTGATGGATCAGGAAATGAGTTTGTGGTCCTTGTTCAGAAGACCAGGGAAGAAAACAGCGGATCCATAAAGCCAGTGGGGCAAAACGCAAGCAAAAACAAAATGCCTTATGAGATGGTTTGGGATGGAAAGTGATTTAAGACGTAAAGCATAAAATGTGAGCCTCCTGATCTTCAGAAAAATGTCATTAACATGATCAGATCAAGTGAGGTTACGGTTGAAAATAACTCCAAGGTATTTGACAAATGGTTGTCGTTCTGTCTTGTCACTGATAGATAAAAGCTGACCGGCATTTGATAATTCGTCATACTTTTGCCTTTTCAAAAAGGAAAAAATTACGTCATTTTTTTAATACACACTCAAGTGCGGTGAACAGCAGACCGGGCAAACCCCATAGTCACGAAGACCTGCTGTTCAGTGGTGGAAGCCAGAAAGCTAAATCCGGGAACTTGGAGTGGCAAACCACAACAGCCCCGATAGGCTAGATGTGATATTGAACCGGAGGACAACAGAGCTGCCTACCACCACTGGGTTACGTACTCTGTATCTCTATATCTCCTCTCGGCCTGACCGGTTTAGACGAGCGAAATACAAACTTCGACGTGATTTAGCACAGCTGTGATGTTTTCTTTGCCGATACGCTATTCGAACTGTAGATGGTTGCGGTCGATCGAATACTGATTGACTGACTGACCAGCTGGCTGGCTGGCTGGACTGTCTGGTATCGCGTTTCATTGACCAGTTTGTGTGCGCATCCTCAGCATAGTGTGTGTGTGTGTGTGTGTGTCTGTGTGTGTATGTGTACATGATAACACACGTTGATAGCATTCAACACGTACCGCTTGTTGAATCTATCGAATGGTATCAGAAAGTGGAATCCGTTTGAAGCACGTATGTCTCCTTATCTCCATCTATAGCAGCTAGCTATTGCTTCGATATATGTGTGAGTATGTTTTTTTGAGACCTGCAATGATGCCACCGCAAATCTTGAATGCAGCTGTTCTCTGCTGCTTCATTTGATCTGTTCTGGTCATCGCATGTGTGTGTGTTTGAATCCGAATCAACGGTCCAAAATCAGACAGGCTTTCAGGTACAATCAGATCAAACTGATGAAAGGTGTAGTCGAATGAACACCGGTTGCATTTTTTTCATATGCTTAGCGTATCATATTCACGTCTCAGCGGTTCTAATTAAATGATGATTGCTTATTTCACACCGACTGTGTCAATGTTCTCCGCGCCATCTAAATAGGTTCTGAAATACGACGGAAAAGCTGCTTATGCATGAGCACAACAAGGTTTCTGGCATCAGGCTGATATCCGATACAAGTTGAGACATCATCATCATCATGTGAGACGTGTGGTGTGATAGGAGTAAACCAGTCGTCACGTGGTCGAGGTGGCGTCGATACAGTAATCTGGCAACGCGAGTCAGACACAACAGCGACGGAGCATGATTTGTAAAAGATAGATATTGCGCGGAGTTAGATATAACCCCGGGCTAAAAGCGGACATAGTGATTGATATCTGTCAAGCGCAGCACTGTGCTCGGATTATCTTCGGGTGAAAGGGGGAAAGAAGAGAAAGGAATGCCCGGGACAGACCTAACCATCCGCAAGAAATGAGCTCGTTACTCACGGT